ACGCCCAGACAAGCCCTGGGGAAGGGGTGAAGGGACTCCCCCAGCGTCTCACTGTGGGCATGGGACACTGCTGGAGGTTGGAGCATCTCTGCTGCTTTGCCCCAAGTCTCAGAGGCAAACCCAGAGGTCCTCAGGCAGGGCAGGGGTGGGAAGGTTGATGAGTGAGGCTCTGGGGGGCAGCTCCATGTGGATTTGGGGACTGTTCGTGGTGGGTGTTGTAGAAGAAAGGTGTTGGGCCAGGTGTCGGTCATGCTCAGCACACCCTGCTGCTCACGGGCAGCCAGAAGGATCCCTGGCTGTCAGGGTGATGGGAGGGATCCCACAGCAGACCTGGAGAGACCCTACTGTGTTCCTGGGTCAGCTGTCCGTGCCAGCGAGCTCCTGGTCCTTCTCCAGAGGTGCTGGGTCAACCTGCACTAGAGAGGCTTGTGCAGAAGGCAGAGCAGGATCTCACAGCTCAGCAGGGAGTTGCAGGAGTGCCAGTTTAAACTCCACCAAACACAACCACCCAAGAGGGTGTTTAAAAATGTTAGCTCCCCACTCACATGGAAAAGTCCAGCACTCCCTCCTCACACCACATCTTGCAGTTGTTCCCTTTCTAGTTTAAATTCAAGTGATAACACTCAAAAGCAACCACAGAACAACAAGTAGGACCCAGCCCCAACTACACCACCAGAAAGGAGCTGAACCATCAGCAAACCAGTGCCAACAGAGCAAACCCACAAACAAAGCACTGCAGGGGGATCCTGACACAAAAAAACCCCTCGAGATGGACCCTGACACCAACAATGTCCTGCAGTTGTACCCTGAGACCAGCAAAGCCCTGCAAATGGACCCCAAGATCAGTAAAGCCCTGCAGATGGGCCCAGAGATCAGTAAAGCCCTGCAGATGGACCCCAAGAGCAGCACAGCCCCGCAGATGGACCCACCCACCCCCAAATCTCTGCGCCGGAGCCCAGCCCGTGAGTCATCGGCGCCTGTGCTGTGCCATGTGCGGTGCTGCAGGAGAGCAAAAGCTATGATTTCATCCCCAAAAACGTTACTGTTTTTATGCTTGATGACAGCTGGGCCTTTTTGGTACCTGCTGACCTAGAACAAGTCTCTCACACGGCGCTGAAGGTGGGTCACTCTGAGCTCTGCAGTGCCTCCCCGCTCAGGGAGTGGGCAGAGTACACCGGTGTGTTCATTGTGCTGCTCTTTGCCAAGGCTCCATTATCCCTATTTATAGATATCCTGGGATGCAATTCCATTAAGCCTCACCTGCCTCAGCAGTTCCCCCTGCAGTGCCCTAGTTATGGCACAAATCAAGGGGTCTTTAATTGGGGTTTCTGTCCCGAGTCAGACTCAAATGTTTGGCCTTGGATTTACAGGGAAGGTTTTCACAGATTCCTCACAATGGTTGGACTCAGAGTTCCTGCTGTCTCCAGAGCTTCCCACAAGCAATCATGCACCGTGGACCAGTATCATCTCTAAAAATCTCATGTCTCTCTTGCCTGTTCTCTGCTCTCCTTCCCACCCCCAGCTCTCAACGACTCTCAGTTTTTTTATCCTTTTCTGATTTTGAGAAGGAGGCAGAGCAGCAGTAACTCTACTCCCTGACTGCCTAATGATGGGGAACTAATCCAGAGACACAGCTTCGAATTAAAAAACCTTCCAGCCTTTATTATTTCTATGCATCATGTTTGTTTGGAGCAAAACTCAGCAGCTCAGATAATCTTCTCCGTGTCAGAGCAGAGACGTGGAAACACCACTGGCTCACAAGGTTTAGGAGAGACAATTTAGGAACAGAGATCTCAGCCCCGGGGAGTCACAGGCAGCTGGGCATTCCCCTGTGATCTCCTCTGGGGCAGGAATGCAGCAGAGATGCCATCTGCTTGCAGCCCAGGTGCCCTCACAGACAGGGAACTGCAGGAGCAGGTTCCACTCCCTGATACAGAACTTTGTCCTCAGCCACATGAGATTTGGTGTTTTGTTCCTGCTTGTTGCAAGGACGAGTGTGGAACTACCAGCAAAGGATCCATGGAGACAATTTACTGCGAATTAAGCATGAACACGATGTCTTCCCAGCACCTGAAGGTCTGTGGTTTTACAGCATCTTCAGTGGTGCCCCCTGCACTCCCCAGGGTCTGCAAAGGGGACAGCAGGGGCTGAGTGGTGCAGCCCTGTGCTCCGTGGTGGGGAGCCCATTCTTCCAGGGAAATGTGGCCTGCACCCCTCATCCATTCTGGCTTCTTTGCTAACTTGGTCTATTTGATTTCATTCCTGGCATCAATGTTGTGAGCAGAAAATTGACTGTGACTTGCACAGTGAGAAACGGAGGGAGAAAAAGGATCATGAGATGGAGAACAGTCAACAAGGTCCTGAGCCCTGCTGGGTAAATCCCACTTAACTCAGTGACATCTGAGTGTATGTCTCAGAATATCTGAAAGAGTTGTGCCAACCCCAGCAAAGCACAAAGCAGAAAAGAAACTCCCTTCATTTGAAGTCCCTCCCTACTCTCAACAATATCAGAGCTCCCCCTCTGCCTCTCCCAAGCTCCTATGGGGGTTTCTGCTGCCTACTGCCTCTCCTTCTTCAATATTTGTCATTCAAATGGCCTTCTAATGCCTGTAAACACAGGAATTGGCATCTGGACAGCAGGAAATCTAGGAAATTAGCACAAGGGACTCTTCTGGGCTTATGGCCAATATATAGTCCTAGGAGCCACTGAAAACACAGCAGAATCAAGCTCTAGAAAGCAGGAAGAGTGTCCCTGGGTTGTCAGAATGTGACTCCTGGTCCATTCAGGATAAGTGACAATAATTGCTCATCTGCTTTGTGTTATCCACAGGGAGAATGGGAGCCAAACTCCCTGGGATTGGGCCTGATCAGGTCCAGAGCTCAGCTCTGCTCAGGGCCCATTCAGCTGCTAGGGAGAAATGCCACAATGGGAAGCTGTTCTCTTTTTTCTACTTTTTTTTTTTTCTTTTCAGGTTCATCCTGCTTTTTGACACCTTGTCTGGTTTCCTCCTACCCATGGAGCTGTGGGTACTGGTCCAGGTATTTGGACCACAAAATTCAGTGAGGGAAACACATGCTGTGTCCCGAGACCATGACCAAAACAGGAGGTTCCACAAGAACCTGTCACAGCATCCAGCAAATCTGGATTTTTTCTGGGTTTTGGAGCAGTGCTGACCCCATGACCAGGCTGCTCTCAACTCCTGTGCCTCAGATGTAATTGTAGGTTTGATCCCTCAAGAGCCTGAATGGTGCTTTTGGATGAGTGGGAGGGGACAGGGCACACTTTGGACGTGCAGGACCTCGGAAAGCCCTTCAGCCATGGGATAAATCCAACCAAGTATGGCAGAAAGCAGCTGGAAATGTGCCAATCCCTCACCTGTGTGTGTGGATAATACACACACAAACTGGGCAGGCAGCAGGGCTGCCAAGGCTGTCTAGCTCACCATGGCACTAAGAACCCCAGCACAGGGCTCTGATTTCTCACTTCATCCTCTGGCCAGGACAATGTATTTGCACTGAAACATCCCTGGCTCCTCTGCAGAGACTGGTCCTGGGGCTGGGATGGAAGCAGTCAGACCTGCTGGGATCCCTGGGCCATTCTGCCCAGTGATACAGCTGGGACAGCCCTGTGCCCACCTCAGTGCCCAGGGTGAGCTGCCCACCAGCACGGGTCTGTGGCACATCTTTTTTGCAGCCCCAGTGATAGATTTGGAGGAGACAGCTCACAAATGCAACACTTGGACCATTGTCCCCCCTGTCAATCACACAGGTTGGAACTGGCTATGGCACAGGTAGGAAGCACCCAGCAACCCCCTGGAGCTGTTCCAGGTGGTGCCCAGCCTGCAGCACCACAGTCTCTGGCACATCAGCCATTCAAGCATCCTCCAGCTTCTGCCCATGGCCACTGTGCCCTCCCCATGACCCGTCAGGCCCAGAACAAGGCCAGGCACTAAGTCCTGGCCCTGCTGATGCCCTTCACTCCTGGCTGACAGTCCCCCTTCCCCCCAGGGTTGCTCTGTGGAGCTGAGCACCAGTCCCAGTGCTGGGAACCCAGATGGTGGATGGTGCAGCCTGGAGACCCTCAGCCTGACTTCCCCACATAACCCTCTAGGGCATGTTCCCAGGGCTCTGGGACACTGCCCTGGCTGCCCTCTGCCCCAGTCGCGTCCCCTGCGTGTGACAGGCCGGTCTCACATGTACAGACCTCAAAACCCCATCGGTCCTCCTGAAAGGGGGGCACAGGAGAAAACCCACAGTTTGAGAAGGAAAAGCAACCTCCTGGCAAGCCCCCTGCACACCCTGCCCTAACCTGGCACACGGGGGGGCTGCAGCACCAGCACTGCACAGCCAGGTCTAGGCAGGTGCTTTGTGGCACCCGGGTCATGTGGTGACACCCACCTTGTGGTGGACACCACTGGTTTACTTCCTGAGCATCTCAAGGTCACCCCGAGGGTGAAGCCCCTTGCACAGTGACTCCATGGAGCGGGTGGGGCAGCCAGGAATGGACCCCAGCTCTCCAGCACAGCCTGAGCTACCAGGCCAGGAGCTGTGTTTGTGGGGACAGACACCCTATTCCATAAATCCAAACCTGAGGGTGCTCCACCCTGGACCTGCACCACAGCTGAGCCTCCTCATCTGTGCAGATGAGAAGAAAAGTGGCCCTACCTGACTTCTTGGGATTGTTTCCAATGTTGCTCCACCTGCAACGAGGAGTCCCCAACCCCGAGGGGCTGGGCAATAATTCCTGCTAATCTGAGCATCCTGAAATATGGACAAGGTCAGGCCTGGGACAGTTCAGAGGGAAGCAGGAGCATTACCAGGGCATGTTTCACACAACAAACCCCTTTGCTGGCACCAGTTAAAGGTTGCATAACCGTGCCCAGTATGTCTTATTTATTACTGTTGTGTTAAATGCTCAACTTGCCTTCAGATCATGGATTACTCCACATCCTTTGAATTTTTCAGCTTAGCCTCCTTCACCCCTTGCAGATGAACGACCGTTTAGGAAAAAGAAATCTTTATTTTATATTTTTTTTGTATACTTGTACACAAGTAAAATAAAATGCATATCTATATATACTGCAATCTTGTGAAGAAAAAGGCAGCATTCTTTAACAAATCCTGCCCGTAAACATGGTGTGATGGAATGAGTACGGAAAAACTGCAATATTCATAAACGTAGGATTAAAACAGCATCAAATTCATTACCTCTGCATATGGGAACCTGCAACATTGTTCAGTGTGATGGCGAGTTACAAACAGATTTTAGACATTCTTTTCAGAGCATTTCTTACACTTTTTTTTTTCCTGTAAATAAACCATATTTCTTTACCATCTGCTGTAGCAAAAGCTGCTTTGTGGGCAAGTGCAGTTCCGAAGACCAAAGGTATAATTCACAGGTTTCAGGACAAATAAATTATGTACATCTCGGTGTTTGTCTTTTTTGTTTTGTGGGTTTTTTTGTTTGTTTGTTTTTTTAATAAAGGCATCCAGTTAACTTTTGTGTAACAAAGCTTTCTCAGGGTGGATGGTAGTTTTACTTTTGTTTGCAACATTTATGGAGGTCAGCAAAAGTCTAGTATTAAAGTGTCATCAACCCAGGAAAAGAGTTAATTTTAGCAGAATAACAGTAAGCTCCACACCAAGGGGGGGATCAAAAGGCTGAGGCTGAGCTGTAACGTGGAGCTGTTCCCTTGCTGGGTGAGGCGGCACTGGGCCTTTGATCTGTTCTTTTTAGAGCAGCCCTGCCTCTTTTTGGTTGGAACTGTGGAAGGTTCAATAGGCTCTAGAAATTCTGGCCTCAACTTGGTCAAAGGAGGGTCTACAATGCTGGGGAAGGTCCCAAAGGGGGAATCATTTATCTGCTTGTTGCTGCTGTTTTTGGAAGGGTCCGTCTCCATATACTTGGGTTTGGACATGTTCTCCTTTTCCTTGAGGTGGTTGTTGGACGAGCGGCTGCTGTGGGAAGAAGGCCCTGCCTTGCCTTTTGCTTCATAAATAAAAGACTTATCTGTTTCTGGCTGGCAGCACTTGGAGGAGCCATCGTGGGAACCGAGAGGGGGGATCCCAGTTGGGAGTTTCCCCGATCTGGTTTTAGTGCTAAAGACACTTGTTCGTATCTGGTTGAAGGAGTCAACACACCCTTCCAGGTCGGAGCTCTGGAGCCTTTTGAGGTCTCTCCCTGCCAGGCGAGGGGGGAGGTGGCACTCCAGCTCCGAGGAGGATCCTTTAAACTGCTTAAACCAATTCCAGAGGGAGCGGGCCTGGCAGTCGCAGATCCACTGGTTGCCGTTGAGGCGCAGGTACTGCAGGGACACCAGGGGGGCCATGGTGTCCCCCGTGAGCACCGTCAGGTTGTTGTTGAACAGGTACAAGGTCATCACCTTCCCGAGGTCATGGAAGGCCCGCCGGTGGACCAGGCTGACCCTGTTCTGGTGCAGGAGCAGCCGGTCGAGGTTGATGAGCCCCCGAAAGACGTTCTCCGACAAGCTCTTGATTTTGTTCCCATGCAAAAACAGGTAGGTGAGGTTTGCCAGATCTATGAAGGTGTCGTCCAGCAGGGTCTGAAGATTATTATCCTGAAGGTAGAGATATTGCAAGGAGAACAGCCCTCGAAAAAGCCCCGTGGAGAGCTCCAGGAGCCCACAGCGATCCAGGTGTAAGGTGTGGAGATGAACAAGCCCCCGGAAGGTGACGGGGTTGATGGATTTCAGGTTCGTGTTGTCGCTGAGATCCAGCTCCTCCAGTTTGTTGAGCCCATAGAAGGCTCCAGGCTCAATGAGGCTGATGTTGTTGGAGTGGATCCAAAGGATGGTCATGTTGCGGCAGGAGGTGAAGCTGGTGGACCTCACTAGGGTTATCCTGTTGTTGTGCAAGAAGATGCGCTGGCTCTGGATGGGGATCTCCGTGGGGATTGCTGTCAGTCCCTGCTGCTGACAACTTATTGTAATCTTGGGTTCGCTGTAACATACACAGGCCCCGGGGCAGGACTCCACTTCTGACTGGATGTTCAAGCAAAGCACCAAAATTAGCAGTTTGCTTCCTAAAGGATAAAAAAAAATAGTATGTAAATTAGGCAGGGTCATGGGAGAGTTTCTCTCTGCAGATAATAGAGGAGCCTGAAATCACCCCTGTGAGTGTGTCACCACCAACCACAAACAACATATACCAGGGGAGCCAGCAATTAAAATGCATAATTACAATGTTCCACCACTCAACTCAATAGTTTAAATCAATATACACTTGTAGAGATGAAGTCTGAGCACCTCCTCGGCCTTGCACACTCGGGAGGGCTCTGACAGCCAAGGGGAAAAAGAAGGATCATCATCATCATGGATTTGGGTCCTGGATGCACATCCAACACAAGCCTCGTTCCACAGATCTCACCTGGGAGCAAAGGCACTGCCTGCTGGGGGCCATTTCTCTCTGCCATGGGCACACTTAGACCAGTTCACCTGCACCCACAGGGATGTCCCAGGCAGCTCTTGAGTGCCATCCCAGCAGTGCCACCAGCTCCTTGCTTTTCAGGACCATTGAACCACTCTCTGAAACAAGCAGGTGTCCCCACATTGCTCTCGAAACCTAATTGTGACTTTCCCCAAATAATTTTGGACTGATTTGGTCTTTCTGGAAGAAATAACTGTGAGAGATTCCCAGAATAACTTTCAGGTCAGACCTGCCTTCAGATGTCTCAGAGCCAAGAGCATCCTTTCCTTCTCTTGGTCAAAACTTTAAGCCACATGTTCTTGCTTCCCTTCCTTTCTCTCCCTTTTTTTTTTTCCTTTGAATCTGGGCAGCCACCAAGGAAGAGGAGGAAACAGCATGTTTTTCCACAGAGGGTGATGCTGTTGTAGGAGGAAATCACATGCAAGGCTTGATTCAGAGATTCCACAAAGGATTCAGGGATTCTACAAAGTTTGCAAGGCAGGAGTAGATTCCATGTGTTCAGGCACGCAGGCAGCCCGCCAGGGCTGAAAAGCCCCTGAGAGGAACATTTTTCCATAATGATGCCCCACCTGCTCCCCAGGAGCTGGGCTGCCCTGGAATCACAAGGGAGTATTTTGGTTTGCCAAATTCCCGAGCCCCAGCTGGGATGCTGGGAAAGAGCCTGGAGGAAGGGAAGGGATGGGCAGAGCATCATCTGCAAAGGGACCTGGGAGGGAGAGTCAGTGGGAACCCACAGCTGTGAAACCTGGCAAGAGAGCTGCTCTTTGTACCCGTGGTGGGAAGGGAGGCAGTTCCAGCAGTGCTTTACCAGCAATTAGCAGCAAGTGCTTTACAAGCAATTAGCCCTTCCTCCAAACCAGATCGGGAGCTAAAACCAGCGGGCAGCACCCGGAGCAGCAGCAGGCCCCATTTGGGAAATCCCACGTGTGAGCAGAGACACGTGTGTCTCCTTCCCAGCTCATCCCAGCACCTCTGGCAAGAAGACACATCCCTCCCCATCCCCGGGGATCTCCAGCCCACGGGCAACAGCGGCTTTGCCTCCTCGCTGTTGTGGGATTTCCTTCCTTGAAAGACTGAAAATATTGTTCAGGCACGTTGGTGCCTCATTACAGTGTAAGGTAAAACAGCAGAGTTCAAAAAGCCGGGCAGGAAAGCAGGACGCTGCCGAGCGGGATAAGGTGGGAACACTGGAGGGAGCACAGTCACATCCAGCCCCGCCGGCCCCCCTCCCTCAGAGCCTGCACGGCAATCGTGTGGCTACTGAAATCACACCACCTCTGCAGCAACAGCACCTCCAACACCAACGATAAGGGATTAAATTACACGGAAATCTCAGCAAACTGTTTACTGAGCCAACAACAATCAGAAAAGCCAAGGCAGGAAAGTCGCTTTTCTGCAATAACGGATCCCAGATCTGGGTTTCAGTCCAGTCAAAATGATTCACTGTGTGTGGCTGATAAATCTGTTGTGATCCAACAGTCCAATATAGGCAGCAGACTCCTATGTCTCATAGTCCACATGGGAGAAAAAGAACAGCTCAGCATGCAGAGATAATTTGAGGCTGATATTATTAGCTGCTGAGCAACCCTGGAAGGCAGCGTGTTGAGTGCAGTATTATGACACATTCTGGCTGGCTTGTCATGTTTTGACATGTCACGTCCCATTGTATGAAGCAAAGGAACACAAGACAACTGAAATTCCCTACTGGAGACATGTCACACCAAGAGGAGCCTCGTGGGAAATTAAAACAACGCTGGCAACTCTCTGGCCAGCACATTTCCTATCCAGCTGATAATGAAAACCCGTGGGCAGAGAAGTAGGACTTTCTGGAGCCTCCTTCTTCAGTTCCATGTTTCAGGTGATGGGGGCGGGGGTGGCACCAGAGCAATGGGATTCACCTCACTAAGCAACACCACCCACTCCAGGAAAACAGCGCTCAGCCTGGGCCACCACTGCTGCTCCCCCTGCCAGGGCCCACGGCCCACCTGGGGAAATCCAGCCACAACCTCGGTGATCCCACATGCCTTAGGAATATGTGACCCAGGGCTGGGAATGCAAACACATGTTCCTGTGCAAGAGGAATCGCAGTCAACACTCCCATTCCAGCTTCAGGCAGGAGAGGCAAGTGCATAACAAATACATGGATACCTGGAGGCAGAAGGAGAGAACAGGGAGCAGCCGGCAGAGAACGAGCCCTACATGGGAACAGCACCCTGCCCTGTGCACCCCATCCTGGCAGCACCCTCTGCATCCCTCGTGCCCTGAGCCCACAGCACCAGCCCTTTCCTATGGACAGAGCTGCCAGGGCTGGGCAGTGAGGTCCTGTTCCAGCTCCTGGGTGTGCACAGAGCTGGACACACACTGAGCTTCTGCCCAGCACAGAGGGGCAGAAGGGAAGGGGCACATCCTGCTCTGCTCTGAACCATGGCTTTCCCTGTCCCTGCCTGGGGGCTGCAGTGACTCAGTGGCACTGTTGGGAGCCAGTGGAGCAGCACAGGGACATGAATTACAGGCAGGTCCAGCCTGTGTGCATTCATTAGGGACCTGGTGCTCATGAGCTGCCTGGATTAGCTCCTTCCACCACAGACAGTTCTGTCAATCAGCCCCCAAGGCCTTTTTCCAGTGAGTTTCCCACCGTGCAGCTCAGCCCTGCCCTGATCTGTGACAAAGCTCAGCACCAGCTGGTCACAGGGTCCCCGGGCAGGCAGGGCCAGAAGGAAGTGCAGGAGGGGGTGACAGCCATGGGAAGCCACGGTGACCCTTTCCTCCCCAGCCAGACCAGGGTGTGTGTGGCAGAGACTGGAGGGCCCATGGCATGACTTTTCCCCGCTCCTCCAAGGCCTTCTCCAGCCCTGGTGCTCACCCAGCAGCTGTGCCTTGTGTCAGTGTGTCCCCAGCCACAGTGGCCACCAAGGGCCACGATCCATCCAGACCTTGCACGAGGATATTTTGATCCATGGAATTCCAGGCAAACCACCTTGCTGTTTCTGACCAGGGGCCAAGTGACCACTTCAGGACAGGGATGAGCACAAACAGGAAGGTTGCTACCTTAAAACAGTTTTAAGATGGTTTGAGGCCCAGCAGACCTGGTTCGGGTCTGGAACGAGCTGGAATATACCTCTGTATTTTCAAGTAATCTCTTTCTTTAGACCAAGCCCTGCAAGATCCATCCAGGCACACGGTGTCACTGCCCTGTGCCCCAGGGATGGAGCCCATCAGCTGGAAACAGGCACCTGTTTTGGGGCACAAAGCATAGCCCCAAGTGCCTCTGTGCTGGCTGGGCAGCACAGGTTGGTGTGGAACGTCCCCTCCCTGAGCCTCCAGCACAGAACTGGGCCATGGCAGAGAGGCAGGAGCTGGGACACTGATCTGGGGACTCTATTACAGTGTGTCCACAGGAACTGGCCACCCCAACACCCATCAGCCGAGCACAGGGTGCTCCACCTTCTTCTCTTCTCTCTGTGGGAATTATGTAACTTTCCGAAATAATGTTTAATTTGTTGGTTTAGCTCCTTAAGTTTCTTTTTTTCCCCAGGCTCTTATTGTTACTTCAATCATTAAATCACCAAAACTTTAAGTTTGTTAAACTAGCCCTGATAAGTTTCAATAAACAAAGCCTGAGGGAGTTGAAGATTGGACATTTGGGATCTTAAATTTATGGTCCTTCAAGGGCTTGTTGGAGTAACCAGAAGATACAGAGGAGACTCCCTGTCTGAGAAGAGGATGATAGGAGGACTGAAGAATGTGGACAAAATTAGCACAAGAAGCAAGAAATCAATAACCAATAGAGGATAGAATATTAATTAATGAAGAGAATTAGAAAACTTACAACCAATGAATGTTAATTTCTTTATTTGTTAAAAATATATAAATAAGTGAAAAATCTTGATAGGTGGTGTGTGGAGCTGGAATGATTCCCTACAAACCCAGGCCAGAATAAAGAAATGCTGCTTCCTAGTACTGAAATTACAGCCTTAGAGAGTTTTGTTCCTGATTTTTGGTGACATCTCCACCTCCCCTTGTTCCTCCTGTGTTTTCCTGACTTCCTGCTTTCCATCCTCCTCCCATCCTTCTCAACCACCATGTCCCAGGGCTTCTCCAGTTGAGGTGAAAGCAGCACCCAGGCAAACCATCTTCAAACCAGAGAGACTGGGACACCTCCTGGCAGTGCCCACAGCCTGTGCCCTGCCCTGTACACCACACTGCAGCTTCTTGCTCTTGGCACAAAGCAGAGGGGAAGGATGAAGACCTTCAGAGTGTGGCCAGGCAGAGGTGACACAGACAGACACAGCTTAAACCAGCAGGAGCAGTGTGAGTGTTGTGGGCTTCTGCTCCTTCCAGGGGGCACTGAGGATCTGTGATGCTGAGGGGTCCCAGTGGGGGCTGCCCTCAGCAGAAAGGTCAAAGGTTGAGGGAAAAGAACCCAGAGGCCCTGGGCAGAAAGAGCCCATCCACTCACAGCCTGGCTGGCACAGGCAGCAAACACCAGTGTTTGTGTTCCTGGAGCACTGGGCTCAGCTCTGCCTGTGGGCTCCTTCCTTCTCCTGGAAAAACATGCTCTGCTCTTAGGCCAGAAGTACAGGAGAGATTCA